AGATAACAGCCCAGAGCTAACTTGGTGGTGAGGATCCTTCTGTGTGTGTAGAGGACACACAACCAGGGCAGTTTTCTCCCATGCTCCCCCTTTTTGAGGGGGAAGCTGCCTTGTGCACTGACACACTTGTGGCCACACGATTTTCTGCAGGGACCTAACCAGGAGATATTTATTCTTTGAGTGTCATATTTGCAGAATCTCACTTTGCAGTTTTGCAACTGCAAGCAGAGCTGGAGCACTGTCTAATGTTTCCTTTGGGATCAAAGAATTGTGCAGCTCCAAGAAATGCTGGGAGCTGTAGACTCAGAGATGTGACAGTGGGTCTGCTGCCAATTATATTCTCCTTCTAGCCTCACTATATCCAATCAGTTAGATCTGATTTAATCCCACAGGAGACTAACAAATCCCAGCATCAGGGAAGGCTTTCCAGGTCTGTGTTTCAGGGAGGAATTCTATCTATTGTATTTTTTTTTTTTTGGCGTACTCATGTCCAGTCAATTTATCAAAGGTTTGTGTGTGTGTGTGAGAAGGGAAGAAGAAAGTTTATGAAAGAAATATAAAATCACGTTAAACTGTATAAATACTCGTATTCACAGCTTTTACTTGCATGTCTGTGCACCTCTCCAGTAGCTGAGTGACCATTTTCCCAGGGATTTAGAAGTTTTGTTTGGGATATTTTTTAATTTCTGCAAGAAATTCTAAAGAAAGTTTGTACCTTTGCACTCCCTAGAAGTGAAAATTAAGGAAAGAAAATTAACTGTTACTGAGCCAGGCTCGCAGAACAGTGAGACTGAATAAATAGAGCTAATACCTCAGGATAATGAGGCCAGTTTGAGCTTGAGGAAACTCTTATTAAGCAACAGGATGGGCTAAAACTCTTACAGTTTAGCAGAGTGGAATTTGGAGTTGGATTGCTCATGCTTTCCAAATGAATGTCCAAGTGAATGTCCAAATGATGTGCATAAAAATTTGTGATGAGCTACCTTTGGATGTCCTGGGACTTGAATTTCATGAAGGTGTTCAGCTACAAGATCTCCATCCACTTGTAGCTTTAGGCATGTCAGTGTTGCTTAAATGAGCAATAACCATCTAAGCATGGAGTAAAAACATGGTTGATGAACTGGAAGCAAGAATAATTTATGCAGAAAAACCTCTTTCTGCACTTTTCACATAAATAATCAAAAAATGCAAAAGCACTGAAGGAAATGAGGATCATGTTGTCTCAGGTGACCAAAAAATCAAAATATCTGAATGCTGGGTGTTTATGGCCACACAACATTCAGTGACCATTTTTCTGGGACTGCTCTTGGAGCTTGTTAACCCTTTTCACTCAGACAGTCTCTCAAATTCTTTGGTAGGAAAAATCTGGCACTGTTGACAAGAGATTCAGTGGCTCGAAAATGGAAAAATAATGGATGAAGAGAGTGCACCTATCAATAAGTCAGGTCAGTCAGTTAGATAGTCAGAGATGCTGAGTGATAGACTTCTTATCTGTTCATTCAGGAAAGGTGTGTTGCTCTCCTCATTTCCAAGTGATCCTCTGCCTTCTGCTCATTACTGCTCTGTGGTTTATGTGCCAAGGCAGAAGGAGAGCAAAATTCTAGTGCAGTGAGGAAACCAGCAAGCAGATCTCTGCTCACTGTTACCTTGTTGTGCTCCAAGGACTCATCTGAGAATATAAAATAGGCACAGAATGTCCTCACATCATTCGGAGATGTAAATGCCAGCAGACAGCAAGGGGAAAAGGTGAATTTGGTCAGCAGCCATGGCCAGTCCTTAAGGAGTTCTGGAGGCTACAACAAATAAAGAAACTCCTAACAAGAAATGAGGAAAACATCCTCTTCCATTGACTGTATAAGGGTTTGGCTGTGCAGTTTGAACTCATTCACAGAAAAGTATTTGTATTGTTAAATAAAATACATCCACATTGGCCTTTTCTACTCTTTTCTCCCCTGTTGTGCTGAATCAGACACTCTGCACATGCCATGTTGCACTGCACACATGCATCAACAGTCCAAATTCCAGCTGCACTCTGCTAAGTTGTATCCTTTGGAGGCCGGGGTGTAGCTTTAAAACAGGGATCAGCTTGGCCTCACCACCAAAGTATGGGTCATTCTTATTCAGTAACACAGTGCAAATGAAGAGCAAGGGCACTGTTGTCTCTTGTTTCCACAAGCACTTGAATCCTCACTGAGTTTGATCGAGGTCCTGAAGATGATCAAAACAGAGATTACTGTGACTCGCTACTTTTCCGTGAAGTGAATTTTCACAGCAGTCAGTCACTGAGGAATGAGGAGCTCACTTCTAAAATTAGCCAAATTTTTAGGACATCTGTAGTTCAGAGGAAAGCAGCTGTGTAGAAATTAATTTAAAACTGCCTCTGGTAAAGCTTCACTTTTTCAGTTATCTAAACTTCTTACCACTTATGGCCACATTCTGATGAGTGATGTTAATGTACCACAGCTACAGTTGCTACAAAGCAGCAGCAGTGCTTCCTCCTCCACCCCCAGCCCCCCATTAAAGAAAAGGGTTAAGCACAGTGGACTACACCCAAACAATGGACTCGTGCAGAGTAAGGGGCACTTAAATGAATGTGGTTTACCTCAAACGGATGGGAAATATAGAACAAATCCCTTATGAATTTCTGTTGTGGCAAATGAATACACCCTCAAGCCACTGTCAATGAAAGGGAACAGGACTACACACACTCGTTGAGCTGCTCTGGGGATCCATGAATATGAGTCTGAATGTGAGCAGGCAAAAAGTGCCTTCACCCTGTGACACAAATACCCGGCCAGGGCAAACTCAGTCAGTGTCTGTTTGTTCAAAAGATGTTGTCAGCTTCAATTTGTATTGGTGGGCTTGATGTAGGCCAGGTCCTATTTCCTCTCAGAGCTCTCATAAAGCCAGTCTGAACTCTGCCATGTGCAGTCTGCGTTGCTTGATGTCAGTGGGGTCACAGACCCAGGCCTGGCTGGCATCGTGGAAAAACCCCTTTGTGATCTTGGGATGTACTCAAGAGCTACTCTTGGGAGGAACTGTGGACTCGAGAGCCTGAAAATGGTTGAAAACTAAGTGTGTTTAATTCTTGTTCCACGTGTCCAGACAGAAGGCGCAAATGTATAACTGTTTCAAAATCTCTATTGTTTTCTGCTGAAAAGTTTGGATGCAGCACTTTTGTACTTGTGAGAACTCACCTGCATCTAAAACTTGGCTAATGGGGTCTGGGACTGGCAGATCTATGGGGAAAAAAAGAGAGAGGGGATAGGAAGGATAGGGGGAAAGCATGGGAAAATGGTACAATCCTCTTGGAAGAAAATGTCCCTGAAAGTTATGTTTAATTCAGTCTAAGATTCTGAGAGGCATTATACAACTTCTGAAGCTGAAGTGCACAATCTTTCAGGGTTCATTTAACTGTGTGGTTAAAATCTAGCTGTTTTAAAAACCTGTCCTCAGACACACAAAAAATATCTAGGTTCTAATTTAGTAATTTTTTTTAAAAGGTACATTCAGTGGCTCTTGGGCAGATGAGAGAAGTTTCTTACAGTGTTTCATCTCTCATTTTATTATGCTTAAGTACCTTTTAGCTTTGATGATCGGCTTGACCTAAATTGACATCTGAAAAAGCAGCCTGATATCAGCGCATAAATCTGTGATAATCACCACATCATTACACAGAACCACCTTTTGAAGAGGGAATTGTAAAGCTACTCAGTATTCAAAATTCAGCAGAGAGCTATTAACCCTTGTTTTTATAAATAGATTTTAAAATGCCACTTGTAAGGAACACAACTGAGAAGCTCTAAAGCAAAACTAAACTATTTGAGATGGGACTTTGATGTACATTTCGTTAGAGTTCTGCTCCCCTGAAATGCAGATAACGCAAAGTCAGTTTGTGCTGAAAAGTTTTTCTGGTGTGATGAATACTAGATTCTTAAATCAGAATGTTCTCAGCTGTTCTGCTGTTTTTCTGAGATAAATATCTCTGAAAATAGGCAGTGTGACATTGCTCTAAATGTATGGGAAAATGATGTTAACATCCATATGTGTGAGCTAAGCAAGGGTTAGTGTGAAGCTATGAATAGATCCCCCCAGTTTTTAATGTATAGACAGTATTATTGTCTGGAAGGGGCCTGAAATACAAGGTGATAAAGGCTTTCTGCCTTCACAGGGTATGCAAAAGGTATTTACAGCCCCTGAAAACTGTTATCAATTTACACATCCAATAACGGAATTATTTTGACTTTTTAACCCACTATTGTCTTTTCCCTCCCCACAACTGTTTCTTCAAGGGTGTTCTCCTATTAGCTTAAAATAATATTAACCAGTCACAGAAAATAGGCACCACTGGGATCTTTAGTAGGAGCTTTATCATGCACTAATTGTTTGAAATCATAAGACCTCAGAATATTCCTCCAGGGACCTGCTAATGCACATCCTACAGGAAATGTGAAAACTCTTAATTTGGAAGTGTACAAGTGCCTTCTCTCTTTGGAAGTTTTTAGCAGGTATCTAAATTATATGCTTAAAATTGAAGCATATCTGCTGGTTTTCTCTCTCATTTGTGCAGATAGCTACAGAAAATACACACCACAATGCATACACAGGCATATTAGAGATTATCTCAGTTTGGAAGGGACCCACGAGGATCATCAAGCCCAACTCCCTACTCCTTGCAGATCCAGGGCGTAAAGAACTGATGCTGAACGCTGTGCATGCAACATAGCTGAAAGTTGCTGAGAACAGGTTTGCAGTGGGAGTGCTGTGGTTTTGTGTGCATGTATAAACACACTCTGGTGCCCCTGTTCATCTTCGTTACAGTCCCAACTAACCTGATATTCTGTATTAAACTCTCCTATGGGGTATTCTATATGAAACTGTCTCATGAAGCAGTCCAGATGAGCAAGACTTTGTTTTTAACTTTGAAGCAGCATGTCAGCTGCCAGCAGCAAATGCAGCACGGTGATCTGAGGAAGTCATGCATCGCGTCGCTCACTTACCCACTGCCTTTAGAGAGGCGTACTTGTTAAGCTCTTTGCCTGGGGGCTGTTGCTCATACGGGTTTGTGATCTGTCCCAGGCTGGGATATGAATGTTGATGTGCCATCTGAGGAAGGAGGGGAGATGTTGGCATGACATTATTCATCTGTGGTGGATCTGCATTAAAGAAAATCGACAAGTGTTAAGAAAAAAGTAAATTAGTCTTAAGGTTTTGACATCGTTCTCGGGTACAGATTAGACAGGGTGTGCCGTGGGATTCGATGCAACAAAACAGCATTTGCTACAAAGTGGGAGTTTGAGTCCAGCAAACCTGTACTTCCAACAGTTCATGGCATGATTAAAGGCTGACAAGTGATGGCAGCAACACATGGTAACTTTTGTATAAAAAGGTCCTTGAACTAGAAAATAGGTTTTCAAAACGACTGAACACCAACACAAACACTGAATTTGCTGCAGCATTAGGATACAACCCAAAACATGGAGTTTGTTCCAAGTTATCTTGAATGCAGGGTGGTTGTGTGGCTGTGTGCAGTTAACAGCCAGGCTCATTTCCCTTGGCTCGGGCAGGGCTGCTGCACGTGGGCACTCCCACTGCTCCCAGCCCCAGCCTGCTTCTCTGCACAGCACTGGGCTGTGTTCTGTGCACATGCCCCCAGTGCAGAATGGGCTTTTCTGCTTTGGGACTATCATTAGGTGATTTCATCAAAGCAAACACTTTGTCCTTATGTTTTCTCCTTTTCCCTGCCAGTGGGTATCACAATATCATACTAAAGCAATGGTTTTTGTAGCAGACATACGGAAAAGCAGGAGCTAATTACTGCTAATTACAGCTTTATACCAGCACTCGCCCCATATCCATCCTGCAGTTGATTTGTTCCCTTTATAGTAGAGAATACAACCTGTATACTTTTCTTTCTAAGATATAACATAATTTATTTGTTGTTTTTAATGTTCAGCTCCAGCCTCTAAAACACTTGGTCAGAACTGTGTGCTGCACTCCGTTTGCAAACCTAAATTTCAACAGATTTCAACATGGTCAGCATATCTTTTTTGCTGAGTCTTCCTCCAGGCTCTAGATTTTGAGATATTTGGAGCTGAATGGCAATCCTAGAACCTTGTCACGGCTTCTGCAATCACAGACAAACACATTTTTCTCCTGCAATGAAGCCATGGTGCTGGATTGGTGACAGTAACTCCCTCAGCACCAAGCACTGGGTAGAGATCATGTAGAGAGAAAGCTGGTCCCTTACAGCAAAGGTGCTTTATTGTGATGGATGGACTGGACCATCCTCCAGGTGCCCACAAGGATCTGGCAGGAGCCAAATATCCCTGCAGTTTGCCAGGACTTTAAGGGAATTGAGTCACTTGTCTTTGCCCAGCTCATTAACAAGCAGGGGCTCTGAAGTCAGTTAACAGATTTGCTGCTGGGAGAGAAAAGAAAGCAAAGGTGTTTTTTAAGTTCCTTCCCCATCACTGCTGCCTGGTGCAGCCTCTGCTGTTCACACCAGGCCTGCCCTGCCTCTGCACAGCTCTGTAACCACAGACATGTGCACCCAGGTTGGGAGGGCACTCGGAGGTAGCTGGAGAAAAGTGTTACAAGTGCCATCACCTAATAACAGGGTGATTCTTCTTGCTGGTACTGGTTGTTAATAGGGAACAAATGGGTTGTGGATAATAGTTAGAGCTGAATGAGGAATTATTTTTCCATACAAAAAGAGTTTTACAGTGAGTGGTGGTTTTTTTTTTCTTTTACCAAAGGAATGAAATCTGAAGTGGGACTCTTTTTCTTACAAATATTGTGTCAGATCAGGAGAAACATTTTGTCATGATTTCAAAATTTTATATATATAAAAGATAAGTTGAGACACATTTTAAAAGAAAAATATTATTTTGGATTGAAAACAAGAAACTTTTCTGTTCAGAATTACCCCCAAAGTATTGGAACACTCTTTGAATCTTTTTTTGATAGTTTTACCTTTAAAGGGTAAGTTTGCTAAGTCAACCCTTTCACAGAAACATGTTATTTTAAGGAATTGCTATTTTGTAATAAATAAAAACTCTCAGGAGTTTCTTTTCAGCTCTAATATTGGCATGTGTGATTGGTATTTGCAAATATCTGGCTTCAGTGAATGGGGACAACTTTAACCCAAAAGCCGTGGCCGTGCCCAAATGTTATTTTTGGCAACGTGACACTGGTATTGTCCGTCACAGGATTCCACAGGACCAGCTGCACTCTGCCACTGCCAATTTGTGTATTTATTTTTAAAAGACAGAGAATATGAACATCACAAAGAGTCAAAAAACTGTTTGTGCCGCAGCTTCTAGCATGAATAATCAGACCTGATTAGCAATGATGATATTGTAAAAAACCTGCAATATCCCCAACCTTTCTTATTTTCTGCTGAAGCGAGGGAATACAGTGCCAGCCTGCTTCCTAACCTTCCAAGACTTTGAGGAGTCATTGTGGACAATGTGTTAGTCTTCCTACTACCAGCCCTAAAGACAGAGTTTGAAAAAGCATGCTGGAACTCAGCACACACAGGCTAGATATCTGCTGGGCAGAAAATGAGACACGTGGGGGAAAAAAGGAAAATAAACAAGTTCTTCATATGCTTCTTCATAAGAGTGCTTTTGACTGCAATTCCCTTAAGATGTGTAGGTATAGGAAAGCTGGTAGGAGACACGTGGAAAAGAAAATAAGAACTGGAAGGAAGCTGCACCAAACCCAGTTTATAACTAGAGAGAGTGGGGTTTGCATCCTGGCCACCAACAGTGAGCCCTTGGAAATGGCTCAGACGTTGGCTGCTGCTCACAGCCCAGTCGTTGATGCAGATTGATCATTATGTTATCTGTTTATTACCTTGGCCTATGTCTCAGCCTGTGCAATTTAAACTTGTATCCAAATGTTATAGCTAATTGCTTACTGCATTTTCCAAGTGAAAATACTTTTTTCGGAGTATTTCCATCCCCCCCAGTTGTGAATTTCAGGGTTGCTTTATTGTGCATCACGGTGACAATGGTGTCATTGGCTGCTTTAATTATTCTGTACTCCATTCAATTAAGATGGGGTTATATCTGATTTATGCATTTCATTCAGTAACCAAGGAGTGGGCATGTAAGCAATTATTGAATACAAATAAGAACCCAGTGTGAAACACCTGACACCAACCATAGTCACACGTATGACAGTGGTAAGACAAGGCAAAGGCCTCAAAACTGACTGTTTGGATTTCTGCACTGTCTGTAGAATATGTTATGTGCTCACCTAGTTTGATCAGCCTTGTCAAGAAGCTGCCAGGGCTATGGGAGAGACTGGGGATTAGAGGAAGGGATGTGAGAGGGCTGCTGGCAATAATAAACTTGTTCGCTGCTTGAGAGCCAAGAGCCTGCCGTGGGCATCCCTTAAGCTCAGCCACCATCCTCCTCCTCTGCAGCCATGGGAGAGCAAAACCTGTTCTTAGGTTGGCCTGGGGATTCATTCCTTTCTGTACAATGAAGTCAGTGATTCAGTGCCTGAAGACAGGGAAAATGAACAAACTCCACAGGCACAGAATGGAATCTATTAGTAAACGAGTAGTTCCAGGCATGAGGAAAAGAGCAAACAGACAGGCAGTGCAGTAACAAAACAGGAGAGGATGAGGGAAGGGCAGGAAAGCAGAGTGAGATTTTGCTATAAAAACTACCTGCAGACACATGTACAAAAGAAAAGAGAACAAGACAGACAAAAGAAGTCTGAGAAGTCAAGGGGGGGGGGGAAATTCAGAGCAAAATATAATAATAGCTGAGCAATTTCAGATACTCAAGAGAAAAAATATGCCCTGAACTAGCTAAAGTTGAAAATACCAGCTATGAGAACAGGACAGATCTGAGTGGTTAGGTAATATCAGTATAAAATTGCTCCCCTCCCATCCATAACTGCACTGCCACCAACAAGCATATTTGCCTCTTTGTTCTTGAGAGTATTACACTTAATTATAAGACCAGCTCATCCAGCATTGCAAATCCATACTCCTGTTCCTGCAAGCCTCACCAACAGAAACTGCTGGTGCTAGTTCTGAAAAACCCCAGATATGATGAAGCCTGTGGGATTTTAGCAACTCGACCATGCCTGCAAACTAATTCCTTTCAGACCAGTTCCTTCCTGGATAATAGAACTATTTTCCATTCATGGGACTGAGCCTCCTGTGGGGCTGAAACTCAAATCCTTGGCCTGTGTACTTGCTCTTACCTCTCTATAGGTTGTCCCAAAGCAACTGAGGTTTTGTGTTTGTGCAGTTTTTTACACCAATATAACTTGAGCGTTCTGTGTGATTGTAGGTGTTGTAATGCCGTTGTCATTGTCTTTATTTATATTCTTTACCCTTTCCTTCAGATTTGCATTAAATGTTGTGTTTTTAAAGGATGTCCTTATTCACACCCATACATGCAAGTGTATGTTCTGCAAAAGATGGTACATCAAAATCAGGCTGCCCACCTGTTAGATAATGCAAAATAGTCTCTGAAACTTCTGTGCTTATGCCTTACTCTAGGGGTTATGCCCAGAAAGAGAAAAGCAGACTATGCCCCAAAACTTATAAACTTGAACCCTTGTGTTTGTGTTTGCTGTTAAAAATATCCATGGCCTCGTTTTCCACATTGTCAGAAATGGTATTTCAACTCTGGTTAAATGAATGACATTCTGCAGCAACATTTTCCACAGTCTAGTGCAAGTCCTAAACAGTAAAGTATTCCTCTAGTCTTAATTTCTCTGCCCTACAATTTAACTGATTTTGTATTTTTGCAAGAACAGATGCTCTCAATCCAACTTCTGTACCATTCATTATTTTATATGATTTTTTTACCACTTTTCAAATATTTGTCTCTATTCTGAAGTAATAATTTCACTCCTTTCAGTCTGTCTTCATCTGATAGTCTTACCAAACTTTGATCTGTTACTGCTGCCGTTTCTCAACACTTGTAACCTTGCAATGCAGCTTCTGGGATAAAGTTCTACCCTCAGCAACACATGGAGCTGTGTTATTCTGGACATAATGCTGTTGTAAGTCATCCCTAAAAGTCTTTGTCCCTTATGATCTGCAGACTTTTTTGTTTTCTCCTCGGTGATGCACAAGTCATGTGAGTAGTTGTATTGCCCCTTAATGTGAGAGCTCTGAGAC